TCCCCCCGCTCCCCCCCCCCCCCCATCCCCCATCCCCCATCCCCCATCCCCCACCCCACTCCCACCGCCAGATATACCCTTGCCCGAGGTAGATAAGCAACGATCGGTCGATCGATCGATCGATCGATCGAGCGAGCGAGCGAGCGAGCAAACGAGCAAGCGAGCGTCTAATATCAGCATCGGCCTCTTCCACTTTGAGCCTAATCGCTTAGATCGTGTAAATAAGGGGGCCCGGACAGCGTTTCGTTAGCCCCAGGGTGAAATGAACGACAGGCCCTGGCACGCCGTCTCCCGGCTTACCCTTTATAATCGCCTTTTACCGTTTATAACCGCGACGACGTCCCATCCAACCCCCCACCGCTCACTCTTGATAATAGATCCATCACCCTACTTACTTACTTACTTAAATGTGCAAGAGTTTCATAACTGCGTTTTACGTTGGCCGACGCCGCCGCCGCTGCCGGCACCACCGCCGCCGACGCCACTGCCGCCTTTCCGCCGCTGCCGCTGCCGTCGCTACCACCGCTACCGCCGTTACCACCGCCGTCGCTAACTCGATGTTGTCCACCCGAAAGCGCATTGTACGATTAATCGAGTGCGCCGCAGCTTTCTAATGTGACTTTGACGATGTAACGTTGGGCTTCGGCGCCAACGGCTTTCTAAACTATCGTCAAATTTGTCTTTTATGCCGAACGATCTTTTATTAATAAGGCAACATTGGCGAATCTAGCGGCACCGCTCGGCACTTGAACGGCACTGTGTAACAACATACAACAAATGTCAAACGTTACAACGAGCGCCTTATTTCAAAGCGTAATGTAATCGCTGCAAATAATGCTGCCGTTTCGCCGAGTTAAATTATTTTGCACACTTTATTGACAACTTACGTCCCGCAAAACGCCTTGCCGTGACAAAATTTCCATCGCTGCTCGCCTTCTTGCCGCAACATTGCTTATAAAATTGTAAAATTACTTGCACATCTTGCATAGACATATTATTCGTTAAATATACCGCAGAAACGGCTAATACTCGAGTATTTATTGTACATGTGGTAAATTAAAAAGTAGTCGTATTAATGAGACGAGGTACCGTTTCACCCTTAACCACAATCGACACTTCTTTATCTTTTTGTATCCTTTTTCAACCAATCACTTGCTTATTAATTAACCTTATTAATTGAATTAGAGCATAATGCATAATCTAATATTTATCTGCTTTTTTTTATTTTTTGTCATTTATTGTTTTTCTCTGTGATTGTGTTTTGTTTTGTTTTGTTTTTTTTTTTTTTGTTTTTTTTTTGTTTTTTTTTTGTTTTTTTTTTGTTTTTTTTTTGTTTTTTTTTTGTTTTTTTTTTGTTTTTTTTTTGTTTTTTTTTTGTTTTTTTTTTTGTTTCATTTTTTGGTTTATTTCTGTTAGAACGTTAGAGTTAAACTCACACGCCAAAGATTCTTACCGTCTCCACAGACATTTATATTCCATTTGTTTTTACTTCCTTGTTTATTCTATTTTCTTTTTCTTTTTTTTCATCTGCTTTTCTTCTCTCTTTTTTTCACCCATAAACACGAAAAAAAAAAAAAAAATTAATCTTTGCAAATATAAAAATGCATTTATAAGCAAGTGATTTATTGTATGACATTGCTATGAAAAGTCTTAATGTTGTAATACTGATAAAAATAAATAAATAATTAAATAAAAGATAAAAAAAAAGATAAAAAAAAAAGAAAAAAAAGTAAAAGAAAATCATGACAAACCAGTGCAGATTTTAGAAAGCAATCTTATGAATAGAAGAATAATTATTCCTTCTCTTTCCTCTTTCTACACAACGCTTTCTCATTGCAGTGGTTTTATAAATGGCACAGTACATGTGTATAAACATATCTTTTATTCTTATTAGAATTTTCAGTAGATTTTACTATTACACAATACTGTAAATGTATTGCACATATTTGTTCATAATCTCGGCATATATTTTATCGCACGCACGCACAAACATAATTTTTTACACGCTGTGCGAGAAGGAAATGTGATGCTTGTAATTTCTTCTCTCGCGTATACTCTCAGCTAATGTATACATAATATTTTTTCCTTTTATTGATGATTTTTCTTCATTAAGGTAATGCCATTGCATGGAGGTGGGACGTCGGTCGGTAAATGTGGTTATAGACTTAGGACTAATTACGTGTAGCACTTCAGATTTATGTTGGTTTTTCCCAGAGGCTGTGACAAGACGAAAGGGGCTCCGATTATATTCGCGCCATGATTTATTTTTAATATTGTATGCGGGCGCTATGAGAAAAATAATATGAAAAATCGTTGCATGCTCATTAATATAATACGAAATATGTTAATCGACAAGCCTTTCCACATCTCATTGTATGCCACTTGACCGTTTCTTTAATAATTGATCATTACGAAAATTTGTATTATATGGATGCGCCAATTAATTTAATTATGCCTTACTACAACACTCCGTTTAATGAGAATGTTAAAGTCGTTCGTTATTTCCTGAAACAGTGCATATTAAAAATTAACCTTATACGTAAACGTTGAAAAGGTATCAAGTTAAATTTATTATTATACCTGCAAATTTTTTAATGATTCACCTAAGTTTAGTAGGATATTACACATTAGCGTATTTTTAATAGTAACGTTTCAGGTTATATTGCTCGATCGACGACAATAAAGACTTTCACATCCTTGATATTTTTTTTTTTTTTTTTAAATTATTCACTTGATGTATTATTATTACAACCCTTATTATCTTTTTATTTTTTTTCTTCTTTTATATCACAATAAAAATTGATATATTAACTTCGAACTATTTTTCCCTTGTAAGCACGAATATACACATATTTCAAAGGATGTAATTTCTTATTTTAATGTTTGAAATTTTTCATTTTCTCCCCGTACGTCGGTATTTCTCTCGACAAGGATTTCCGCTTGAGAGAAACGTACTTTAGCATGTAAAGAATGATGTGAACGATGTATCTTATGCCAGAAGAAAAAAAACAAACAAGAAAAAAAAATATATATATATATATATATATGTATATAGAATAACTTTCATTTACCCTTATTGCTCGATTTAAAAATGTATTTCACTTTTTTTTTATTCCTTAAGAGTAAATGTTAACGTGGCATTGTTGGCGTAAATAAACATTTTTGTTCTATTATAAGATAAATTATAAAAACATATTTTACGACTCATGTATATTACTGATACCAACTAGGCTGATACGAACGAGCACACATACACACACGCACGCACGCACGCACGCACACACATGAAATTTTCAATAAAATTATGAAATTTTCATTGAATTTTATTGTAATGATGAGAGTTCAGTTGAAACTTTACACTGAAATAACTTTGAGATTCATTGGCTTTCATTGGCATTCATTGATTAGTAGAAACATATTTATTTACGATTAATTAATGCAAATATGAATAATAAAAAAAAAAAAAAAAAAAAAAAAAAAAAAAAAAAAAAAAAAAAAAATTAACCCTCTCACGTCGATTAGCCGACTTATTAAGCCATGCTTTTATCAGAATTTGTAATGCTTATATCAAAGCTTTGATAAGTCATGTTCTTAATTTGCGACTATTGTGACAAATCGTGTATCATCGCGAGATCAATTATTAATAATTCGCTAAAATGATTTAAAGCAGATGAATCGAAGGATTGTCATCACTATGGAAAAATTAAATACATTTTATGTTACGTCAAAAAGCATTTATTATAATATATTTATTAAATATTTACTACATAAATATATATTATAAAATAACGTACACGTTAATAATTATACCTCCCAGTAGCAGTAAATTTAGCTTGATATTTAGTTAGTATTTATTAATATTTAATATTTAGTATATATATATATATATATATGATTATAATGTTTATTTTTAAATCAAAGCAATCTCCATGGAAGTTATCAGTAAGTTTTTAATAAACAAATTTCAGCATTAAATGAATCAAAATGTCTAAAAACACTTTTCAATTAACTAATTAAAATAATAATAATAATAATAATAATAATAATAATAATTATTATTATTATTATTATTATTATTATTATTATTATTATTATTATTATTATTATTATTATTATTATTATTATAAAAGCTTTAAAATACCTTTATAATAAGTTATATTGTGCAGCTTAGCGAATGATAGTACATTTTATGTTTCTCCTTAAAATAAACGTTAAGTTTAAATAATGGAATGCAGAATAGTAAAGGTGGAGTAAACATTTTTTCACGGAGTACATCAAAGTAAAAATGTTAGGGCTTTGTATTAACGTATTGTATGTTGTTTCCGTTGTCCTATAGATGGTATATATCAAAGTAATCAGGTCAGCGTATGTAAATTGTTGTGTTGGAACTTGAGTATGTGTACGAGCTAATGAAATGCAACATTAATTCAACAATCAAGCGGCAGTTGCAATTAGGGATACACTGAGGTTTAACCGGGCTAGGATCAATAACTTCGGCTACGTGTTTTAAATAATAATGTAAATCAAAATAAATAATGCGCTGATCATCTTGAGATGACGGCGTTCATACATACGTTTATAATGTAAATTATTAGTGAGGCATTGAGATTTATAAACAGTTGACAATTTTATATCGACTCTAATTTCGAATTACAAAATCATCAATGTTTATTCATAATTTCAGTTATTCAGATTTTTCTTAAAAAACAATTTCAATACACTTTCTATATAATCATTATATACAAAAATCAAATTATTTAAAATTCAATTTTTCTTCTTGAAATAAGTGTGCGAATAAAATTTTAATAATTAATCCTGCAGCTTAATACAAAAGCTGTTACGTAAGCAATAAATTCGACGTATTAAACATATAAAATCCTTTTCAAAAGTGACTCAAATATTTATATAATAGTTTAACAATAACTGATGTACCGTCTACCAATGTATATAGTTTGACCTGTTATATGCATTTGTAAAAGGAGAAAATTTTAAATGCAGTAAAAAATAAAAAATAAAAAATAAAAAATTCTGAGAACGAAATGGAATGGAAATTCAACATTTCTTGCGACGGTAAAGACTATAAGGATGAATATAATAACAATAATAACGTTGATAATAATTGAAATATGAAAAATAGAACTTATAATAAATATATAAAGATCATAACATATTATATGAAGTTGTAATATTTCAAATATCAATGCAATTATTTTATGGACGAGTAGTTAGTTATAAAGAGTAGAGTAATATTGCTCAATTAACTGTCAAAAATGATTATTGTTATTGCCTTAACCTCCACCTCCTTCTCTCCCTTTTTCAACTTGACTACTTTTTTCGTATTATATATATATATATATATATATATATATATATATACGCGCGCGCACGCATACACACATACACGTTTTTATTTATGTACGACCCGATCGACCCGCATACTGTTATCATTATAAATATACATAAACTATTCGAATGGCCGCCATATCGAATATTATGTGTGATAAAGACGATATTATAGTGAACAAAAAGAGCCTTAAGGGTTGTGACGATTTTATAGATGCGCGACGTAAAGGCAAAGCACATGCTGAACGATTGCATAAGTGACGTGATTTATATTAAGATGTAATGAGAATTAGAAATAAAGTATGGACGAAAAGTATGGTCTTTGAAAGAGAGATCGTGATTTTTCTTTTCTTTCTTATCCTTAATAGTTAATGCGTCCTAATGTGTGATTATTACTTTCATCAGATAGAGATTTAATATT